CATTTTTAGTACACTTCTAAGCAAGTTAGGATTTTCTGCTTTTCACCACGTGAAAAAGCATCTCATCTTCCATCCGAATCAACCAAAAAGTGAAAATTGATTTTTTGACATCTAAGCCCCCTTTCCGTAGACGAGGTCACATATATGTACATAAATATTTAAGTAAACTACATACATACATACATGAAAGCGTATGGTAAAACATGAAAAATTTGAACGTTTATCAGACATCGGTTTGAAAACAGTTTAACTTTAATTAGTTTATTAATTAGGTTATCAGAACTTACCCATTTGCGTAGCAGTCAGACTGAAGTGCACCACCGCCTTGACCATATCCATAGCCTTTGGGTCCGAATTTCTTAGCATAACAGCCTAACATAAATAACATAGCATAACATGATTACACATCATACACACATTAAACATATACATATGTTTATGTATAAATATGTATGTACGAGTAGGTATAGGTGAAGGAAAATTTGGAATGGGGTGTTAACCGATGTAAACTATGTACATATATAGAGTGATGGCAATGTACATATGTATGTATCAGATGCGAGGCAATTAACCTTTGGTATTCTGCAACATAATAGCATACTAACGCTAGACAATGAGCCCCGTCACACCGTTTCACAAATTATACGCATTTTCACTAGCGAAACGAACCGAAAAACACATGTCTTTAAAAAAATTAAATCGCATTTTGGGTTGCCAACTTGTCGATCAAAGTTGACAATCTGCCTTAAAAATCAAAAATTTTTGATTTTTCTCCAACTTGACGAAGGTTTGTCAACTTGCCCACACGCGGCTTAAAGCATAAACAGATGGTAGCGTTGATCCGGATCAACTCGGGAATTAACTGCAGTTGATGCGGATTAAGTCCGAGTTAGTCCGGATCAACGCTGCCGTCTGTTTAAGCTTTTATTTACGACCAAGTTGTATTGGTTGGAGATTGAGATACTAGAACAAAAGCAACACATTTTCTCGAAAAGAAAGGTGGCTCAGCTGAAGCTGAAGAAGTACATTTGTCCACAAAAAGCCAGCAACCACATTGCGAAGCAACTGGTACCAAACACAAAAGAGATTACGTTGATATGTGCAGGTTCCACCGAGATCGCTGCGAACTCGCCAATACGCGAATATCGGCGTACACCAAATCGGTTACTAATCGCAGCTTTAAAACAACGCAAAGCAGACATCCTAATGGTGAACGAATTCCGGACAACAAAACTTTGTGCAAAGTGTTACAACATAAACCTGACGGCCAAATCGCCCCACAGGTACCAATTTTGCCCAAAATGCGGTACCTGTTGGAATCGAGACGTCAATGCTGGGAACAACATTCTCTACTTGGGAGAATGTATCATTAACTAAGAAGAAAAACACCTCAATTTTCCAAAATAAGATGCCATTATTTCATATATGGCGAAAAATATGTACATCTGACTGGCAACAGTTTAACTTTAATTAGTTACTGCAAAGGTACTTCCACCATACATAGTTTACATCGGTAAGTCCAGTACAAAAGTCTTTGAAACAGCCGTCACAATCAAGATAGGTAAAAACTTTCTTCTATGACTTTTGCATGGTAAGAGCTCTCTTAAAATATAGTGGTTAATTTTTTAATAATCATAACCTAATTTAAAACTCACCTTTGCAGTAAATATTTTTGTCCGGACCTTCGCAGCAAAGGATTGAATCTAGGCCTTTGGAACAGTTTCCACACTTAAAACACTCCTTGTGCCATTGCTGTCGAAAGGATATACGGTTGATTATATATACATATACAGTACATACATATGTACAAAAAAAGAGTAGATATTTGGTTTTTTTGTGAAGGGTTTGATTTACATTTTACGTGAGATGCCCCAGCTAAAATGGCAATATCTCGAATCAAGCTGACACCTGGGAAAATTAGTATCTAATCTGGTGGTAATATAACTCGAAAAAAAGTTTTCGACACTTTTGAAGTTTTGTTGTAGATAAAAGAGGGATCTTGACTTATCTTGGGGACAGTTTTATGAATTTTGCATACTAAAAAATTTTCTAAAAATTCTAAATAAAAAGTTTGAAATTTTGGAGAAAAGTTTGTCGAATTTTTATAATTTTTGTACAACGTTTGAAAAGAGGGACTTATATGGTGCTTGTTGTATAACTACCCAGGCTTTTCTAAAATTATTAAACACAAAATAAACCAAAGAAATTTAGCCAAAACCATGATAAAAACATTACTCATTGAAAGGCAGTCTGACGTTTGCCAGCAATATAACTTTAAAATAGGAACTCAAAAAACAAAAATTGTGAACAATTAAATTTTTTATTTTCAATTTTATATGCTTTTAAAATGTTTGCAAACATCAGAAAAAATCATGGCCGACGAATTGAGAGAATGATTTTACCTTCTAATGTTTTTATCATGGCCAAAACTCTTCAAAATAAGGAGAGTAATTATTTCTGCCGACAGTGTATATGTACAATGTTCACTCGTACGCAGTGTGACACACAAGATAACTTTTGAATGAATGCAAGTACAAGTATACAAACATACATATTTAAATTTGTTAATTTTTGACGTCAAATATTTAAATATCTGGAAAAAAATCATTCTGAAAATTGGTAATTTTTTTAGCAAAAACCGGTAAATTTTAAGTTCTTTTTCTGAAAACAGCCAATTTATTACATATTGGCTGCGTTATACATTCCGGATAATCTCATTTCACAGCCGGAATAAACAGAATGTGTTTGAAATATACGTTAACATATCATCAGGAACGTTCTAAAGAATAAGTAAACAAACAAGTCTATTCCAAACGTTCAAAATGAATAAAGAAATTCAGCCATTAAAAAACATGGTAAAATTTTAATAAAATTTAAAAACAAAATTCAATAATCGAAAAAGCATGAAAAATTTATTGGATCATACAAAAAAATTAAAATATTGCGCGGTTGCAAGCCGAATTCATAAAATTCAACCTCTCTTCTCCGTCAAAACTTCAAAAAAGTCAAAAAATATTTTCGGATTATGTTACCACCAGATAGGATGACAATTTTCCCAGGCCACAGCTTAATACGAGCTATTTCCATTTTGTACCTGGACAAACTATGTTTATCAACAGTTGATTCGTAGCTTTTTTCCTATAAAATAAATACATCTTAATAGAAAATTTTGGGAATTTACTTACTCATATGCAATTATAAAATATAATATAAAATTATGAACAACTTGACGAAGGTTTGTCAACATAATTCCTTGCACATTTAACTCGCGTGAAAACAGCGAGACAGTGAAGCAGCGGAAATTGTAAGCCTTTCAGCCACGAATTTAAAATTTAAGGATTTGAATATTGTATTTTCAAGTGTTAGGTAAGAAAATTACATTCTCGCCCCTGTATTATTATGTGTATAAATTTTTGCGATAATTTTCATGTTTTTTCTCGTTGCTTTGTTTTAAATAAAACTGTATTAAAAATACTAGTACTATTACTAATAAAAGTTATAAATAATAATTAGAATATTGGAATATGTGGTACCGCCCACTTATGTCGTATATTTGTAACTCAAAAACTACAAGCAACAAATTTTCTCGGAAAGAAAGGTGGCTCGGCTGAAGTTGAAGAAGTACATTTGCCGACAAAAAGCCTGCAACCACATTGCGTAACAACTAGTACCGAACAGAAAAGAGAATACCTTAATATGCATCGGTTCAACCGAGATCGCTACGAACTCGCCAATACGCGAATATCGGCGTACACCTAATCGTCTACTTCTAACAGCTTTAAAACAATGGTTAACGAGTTTAGAACTACACAACTTTGTGCCAAGTGTTACAACATATACTTGACGTCGAAATCGCGGTAACTATTGGAACCGAGACGTCAATGCTGGGAAAATATACTATACCAGGGAGAATGTATAATCAATCAACACGAAAAACTTGACATATATATGTATATATATTGTACATACATACTTACTTGAGTTCGCGTTATGAACTATTAAAACAAAAAAATGGTTAACTAATGAACTCAAAACCGGTACACATGTAAAACTTGGTTGTTAGTTCCTTTTTAGCCAGTAAAAACATTGATGTTAACTTTTTTAACCCTGTTTTTTTTTCACTTTTCACTTTTGGTTTCCATGGTTTTACTATGGGCGGATGACAAATTTTCGGGTTATTTTTTTCAGGCGAAACTCAGGATAAGGCAGATTATGTACTTGGATGTGGAATAGCACATTTTCTAAATGGTTTTATCAACACAAAAACGGGGGCGTTTCACAAATTATACGCATATTCTGCGTTCCCTGTTTTTTATTGGTTAGTTAATTAATTAGTTAACCCTGTACCTCGGCAATAGATGTCTTTGTCAGGACCGTCGCAATGCATCGTAGAATCCAGTGTTCTGTTGCAATTCAAACACTTGAAGCATCTTCTATGATACCCCTATTTTGATTTATTTTTTTGAAATAAAAAAAAAAAACAGTATAATAATAATTATCACATACAAAACTAAAACTTTATAAACTTGAACACAAACTATGTATTTGTCAGTATATGTGAATGCATTTTTCTTTTTGTTGGCACTTTTTCAAACATTCAAGAAAGTGTAAAGTGTAAACTTAATTATCCATACAGGAATCAGAAAAAAACTCTAGAAAGTAGAATATCACCTTTCAAGAATGTAAAAAATTGAATGAAGGAACAATTAAATAAATATTTTTACGAGTATTTTAAGCTTTAGCGCTTGAATTTTTTTTAATTAAGCACAAAATCTTAACGAGGTGTTAGTGACAATATCCATTTCTGAGCCTTGAAACAGCCTAGACCTGGATGGCTGCACATTTGGTTCGATGAAACATTCTTCGCAAACATATTCGCGTAAATATCCGTATTGAAATCGTTATAAAATCGAAATTGTGTTCAGCATATTATTAATCTGTATCTAATGCTGATTTTTCTTGAATTGTCTTGAACCTTTATTGTATATTGTAATTTTCATGCTACTTTTTTAATGAATTCCAATTATTTTCACTCAGATATTGACTGCTTGTTCAACGAAAAGAAATATTGAGTTGCGATATGTATGTATGTACATTAGGTATATGACTTATTTCTGTGGTCATAAGCAATAACCGCCTAAGTCGAAAAACCTGAATTCGAGAAAAAACGTTTTAAACATTTGGATTGTAAATGTTAACCTTACGGGGAAACCAAAATATGTTCGTCTATAACTTTTTAAATAGCCTAGCTGGCGAGATGGTGATTTCGCATGCACATGGAATAGTAGTTGGAGAATACGAATTGGGTTTCATTAACATGTATTTTCTAAAAGTACACCTATCCAAGAGTAAATAAAACCCCATCTGGGTTTGTAAAGGTGAGCTCGCATTATTTTTATGGCCACTTAAATTTTACTTCTAAACTATAATGTAAATAAATTACTTTATGGGGTCGAGTTCCCAAAAAAATTTCAAGTGTTGAAGCGAAGAAATCAATTGTTTTGTTTTGCTTTATGTTGCCTCGCTGGATTTGTTTATGCGGTTTTTTACATAGAGTGTCAGAAATTATGCGGTTTTTTTAAAATGCCGGAACGCATCCTCTGTTTTTGTATGAAAGTAAAGAACTTCNTTTGTTTATGCGGTTTTTTACATAGAGTGTCAGAAATTATGCGGTTTTTTAAAAATGCCGGAACGCATCCTCTGTTTTTGTATGAAAGTAAAGAACTTTTTTATGCGGATTTTTTTTTAATCGGCTTTCAGAGAAACGCATATACCGCATAAAAAATGTATTTGGCCCTAGTTACGCGAGTATGTTGATTTTTTGTTTATGTAAATTTTACTTTCACATGATGTAATCTCAAAAAAAGTCTTGTGTACCTCAAAACAGGTAATCAAATTACTCAAAATCATCCTTACTCTTGTTTTTCGTTAGGTGTATGTAAATATTTGAATAATCTGAGCTTTTAAAAGCTGAATATTTTACGAGTTATTCATCAAAACTTTTCTGAAACTTACTCTGCCACGTGCCAACATCTGTTCAGCCGCATAGACGTAACCTCCACATCTGGGACACCCTTGTCCTTCCGGAGCTTTAGCTATTACTCGTGGCTCCAAGCGTGCCCCATTGCGCACACCATCAATGTCACTATTGTTAAAGAAAGTCGAATGCATACATACATACTTATGTATAAACTTTATTAAATTTTTAATAATTGATTATATACATACAATATACACAACATGATCATTAGGGTGGCCCCTATTTTTCAAGTATAGTAGTTTCCTGTGATACCCTTTAGTAGTATAGGTTAGGGGTAAGAGGAGTTTCTCGGAGCGCCGAGCTCAGTATTTGAAAAATTATAAACATCTGTAAAAGTACATAACGAGGGTCACTGAAAAGTATGTATAATAACTATGACTAAGAAGGTAACAAGTTTTGTCGGTGAAAATGGTCTTATTGGTTTTCAAGATATTTCTCACATGGTTTATATATTTTTTTTACTCTCAACCCAATTGGCGAAGCATTTTTCCTGCAATGAACTCGGTACCGTTAAAAGCTTTTTATGGCGATAAGAATCGTTATATATATGGATATATATATGATCGGATCTATACCAGATTAGTATGGGTTCACCTCTGAGACACTACGTTTCCGACGCAAAAAGAATTATCGAAATCGGTTGACGTGGTCCAAAGTTATGCAGTAACATACATAAAAAAAAACAAAAAAAAATATTCCAACGAAATGATAACCTCCTCCTCTTTTGGAAGTCGTTTAAAAACATGATGCAATAATACAAGGTGTTATCGGTTGGCAACTTCTCGCTCGAATTCCGCCATATTAACTGCCTTAGCTGAAACAGTGTTACTTCTTTAACAATTCTTTGCCTAATAATATAGTTGAATTTTTTTATTTTTTCTCTGTATAGACATTTTGTTTCCTCAAAAAGGTAATATATCTTATTTTATTTCATTTCATTACGAATATACTATAAAAAAGCAAATTTTGTTTAGGAGAAAATGTGAAATTTTATATTTTTCCCCCAAATGGGGATTAATTTCTTCCCGTTTTTCTTCTTATTCTACTGAGCTAAGGCAGTGTCAAATCGAGCTGTCACAACTGATACCACCTTATATTATTGCATCATGGTTTAAGCCCTGTATGCAGCTCTCAAGAAAACGGTCAAGAAAAAATTACCATTATTTCGTGTGTGTGTCCAAGAAATTTTGACATTTTTGATACTTCACAGCTCTTCACTCTTTCCTCAAGAAATACTGGAACGGGCATATAGTTCTGTTCCAAACCTGGGTTGCCTTGTGCTCTTTTTTCACAAAAAACTTTTGAAACTGTAGTAGAAAGCGTAGCAAATTCCTTAAGAACTTCATACTACTTTAAGGAAATTTGACTCAAGAAAATTTCTTAGCCATTTCTTGTACGTCATTTTATATGGAGTTTTTGCTTTTCTTGAGAGCTGCATACAGGCCATTAGGTGCCAAAATTTCAAATTTATCACGCAAAGGACAGATCTACTTAAATGGCATTAGTGTTGGGAATTCTAAAGACTTTTTAGTTACACTCGTATTTAAAAGAGATTTCTGTTTGCAATTATCTTTTTTGAAGGATGTGGAAAGTGTCCTTTGCAAATGCTTATCTTAAGTTTTGTGGATTATCAGTCTCTGCCATACATTTGTAAATGTGAACTTACAATATACATAGTTGATTCCTGATTTTCTTATCTACTTTGCTTTTTTTAAGGAAAAGTAGTAGGCAAGCATTCTGAAGTTTTGATGTTCTAAGGCGAAAAAATCTCTATGTACAGATTTTGACCCTGTTTACTGTTTTAAATCCAGCAAATAATTGTTAATTTGTGGATGTTTTTTTTAACGTTAAAGTCCGAGGGGCATGTATTTCCCTTAATCTAAAGAAAGGTGCGTAAATGTTTTACGAAATTTTCAAAGAGTGCCTTAAAAGAGCCACCCTAATAAACATTTTAAAAAGTTCGTTTATGCAGCCATGCATGATTCGTCAAAAAACTTAATGAGTTGGTGTATTTGTATGACATAATAATGGCTTGATGAAAATTCAAAATGGGTTTAGCATACAAATAGTACTAATACCTAAAATGTGATTGGAAAAAATTTATTAAGTTTATAAAATCGCCGATATGCGTAAAATTTCCGAAGCTAAAGCTATTTTGTTTGTACATGTTTAATTGTTTTTATTTTTCTTCATTGTTTGTTACTTCTTTTTTTTTCTTGAAATGATTAAGTCATGCGAAGTGTTTAGTGTTAGCCCGTGCATCAGCGGCAAACCAATCAACGAACAAGTTATTTCATTAAATTACGTCAGTTAATGAATTCAAAGCGTTCGTTTGATTTTTGCTACACAGATGCTAAATACATTACATGCTGACATTATCCTCTAATAGTCATTCCTCTAATAGTCATTCCTCGAATAGTCATTAGTATACATACATTTAAACGACTCACATTTAAAACTTACATATGTAGATACATATGTATGTATGCACATATACACATAGCAGTTATATAGTTTATGAAATTAAATAAAACAATGAACACAATAAAAAAAAACAATACATATCTCCCATTGTAAAAATGTTTAATGCAATGATTTTGGTAAATAAAATCCATTTTTATTTTTATTACAAATTTTTTAATAACATTTCACAAATACAAACATATATTCATGAAATATGCATCAATATAAAAAAAATAAAAAAAAAACAAATATTAATATTAATATTATTTCGAGGCGACATGTGATTAAACATTGGAACATGTGGTAGACTATCTTTACGGGAAAGGTGTTCACATTAACACGACAGAACAATTTTGATTCCTGAACTCACTCCATCGCTGCGTCTATATTTCGCCACGTAAATTAGTTGCTGCGATAACATGAAAAAATAATAATATGTTTGAATTTGAGGAAAACATATGTGTTTTCAAATTATCTAATATAAAGTTAAAGCATGATGCGTAGGCATTTTGAAAAATTAATTTAGAAATTTTGTGAACGTTTTTAAGTTACATATTTTACTTTTAAATATGCTACGGCGGAAGCATGAAAAGTGCTTAGCTTTTTTTTTTTAATTGTTCTTAATTAACACCGGCATAAAATGAAACTGAAATTGTTTTTATTGCCCTAAATTAAATAGATATTTACACATTCTCTATGTATATATGTATATCGCATCGAAAGTCATCTGAGATTGATTTAAATACCTAGTCAAACCTTTATTTATGTTTTACAATGGGAGAATAACGGAATTGAAAATATTGATCATGATTTCTAAATAAAAACTTGAATGTTCGGAAATGTTTACACCCATCTATATTCGAAAAAATAATCACGGATTTAAAAGTAAAGCTCCCGAAATGAAAGAGAATCGAAAATTAAATTTTCAGATTATGGCAACGTTTTTGAAAATGAAAATAGGATGGACGAAATTAGTATCTGAATAATGAGAAAATGTAAACATGCACACACATGAGCATCTGTACAAAGTTACCTACACTTACATATGTTTATATGTATGTAAATATGTACATATGTGCATTAAGAAATGGTCTATTTATAGTGGAAGTGTGGAAAACAAATACAACAAAAATGATTACTTTACTCGATATTTGTAAGTGCCTATACTTGTATATACGCATACATGATGTGTGCAGTGCATACAATAAACATATGTACATACATACATAAATACACATGTATCCACAAAGCTGTATAATGTATCTAATTGTGTGTGTAAATATAGTTCGAGTTATTATGACGGTTTCTACATACATACTATATACATATGTATGTGTCTGGATATCCTTATATTATCAATTTGTATAAAAATATGGAAATATAACTTTTGATGCTCGGGGTTTTTAAGGAACTCTGACAGAACACTTATATGCCACCAAAGGTTATTTATGAAAAAGCTCATTGATGTATGAATATTGAACAATAATGATAATACAATTTTAAATACTCACTCTCTGTTCAAATGTGCACCAGTATCCATCGACAAACATCCAGCACCACCTCCGAAGCCGTAGCCTTTTGGTCCATATTTACGGGCATGGCAATTTTTGCAAAACAGTTCTTTTTCATGTTCTGTGCAGTTTGTGGAGTCCAAGGCTTTGTTGCATAGTCCTAGATTGAAAAAATCAGAGTATTGCGATAATTATTCACATTTCTTATCAAATATTATATTTAATTTTGCAGTCGTTAGAGGCTGATCTCCTTACCGCATTTGAAACAGGTTTTGTGGAACTTGTAACCACCAGCTACTCTCTCTTCAGCGGCATAAACGGATTTGCCGCATTTTGGGCATTTCGGTGTCTCAACAGGTGTGAACGGCATTTTTGTATCTATGGATAAATAGAACTCGGTTACTATGACAATTAAGTGGTCTTAAATTTTTTCATCTTTTTTTGTTTCAAGTTTTATTTTTTCTGTTAGCTTTGCAAGAAAACCTAAAAGTTATTTAATAGTTGTTTTCCTTTCTTTTTGGTCAGAACACTTTTAAACCAAAACGGTTGCAGACGATTTTTTTCGTTTTTTTTTTGTAGGATACAACATTCAAGCTTATGTATACCTTAGGTAACTGGAATATTTTTTTATTATTTTTCAATTTAATTAAACTATGAAGGTGAATTTTGTATTTCGGAGCACCGCGCCAAAGTACTTTTCCTCGATTAGCAACGATCTCAAATGAACTGAAAGGTTGCTGCACGCAGGTAGTCTATATTTGTGAGTGCACACGGCACAACGTAATTGAATTGTGTGTTATTAGATAGAGACGGCGATCGTTTAGGAGACTCGTAGACTTGTTCTCGTTTACCTTCTCTTCGTTTAAGGCAGCATAGAGAGGAAGAAAGCTTTTGCGGACAAACTATGTGCATACATATGTGAGATTGGTGAAGAAAAATCGTTTACTCATGCATAAATATTTAGAAGTACAAATTCAAAAAATGTCTTACTCATAAGTTTTATTTATTTCCTTATACTTTGGATACATACTGCATTATAACAACTAATTTGCAAAAAATAGGAAGTAGTAGCTTTTACTGAACAGCCGAAATCTATTTTTAAACAATTTTCCTCCAACTCAATAAATTTATAATTTTCATTAGAAGCCTTTCTAAGCGAATGCACTATGCTACTTCGTATGTTTGCTTACTATATGTGTATTCTCATACACACATACATATGTACATGCTTGTCCATATTCTTAATATTGCCAAATTTAAATGTATATCGCTCACTCATTCATATACCCATAGGAATAATTTGAAGAATATGTATGGATGTATGTATACATATAAGTACATTACCTTGTGGTCAGCTGATTAATGGCGTTTTCTTTTCTACAAAAAATTTTGCCTTTTCAATGCCCTCCTCTTAGCATTTGTACGTGGAGGGCACTGAGAAGGCAACAGTTTTCGGTAGAAAATAAAACGTCATTAGTTAAGTAACATTTTGACTAGTTTTGGCTATTTCTCTTTTCTCTGTTTAATCTTTTAATTTTTTTTTATAAAAGTCTAGCACATAACATAATCAGTACCACATAAAGCCGCATTTCAAATTGAGCAAATTTTAACAATTACACTTAAAAATGTTACGCTTTTTAACCGACTTCAAAAAGAGTAGAAAGTTATCAATTCGTGGAATATATATCTTCGAAGTTTTTGCAAAACCGCCCATCGCGCAATTGCAAAGCCGCCTATCTTACGGCACTCAAATTTTACAGGACAGCGAAAAAACGGTTTATTCTTTAAAAGCATTGCCTTGATAGGCGGTATTTTCTCCAGCTTTTATTTTACAAATTTGTTGTCTTAATAACGATTTTTATGCATAATCTCATTTTTGCCACAATGGCGCTTTAGGCGGTTTAGCAACTGGTCGATGGGTGGTTTTGCAAAAACATCGACGATATATATATATATATTTTTTTAATTATGTTACCGCATAACTTTGGGCCATGTTAACTGATTTCGATAATTCTTTCTCTATCGTAAAGATAGTGTCTCACTGGTGGCCCCATACTAATTTGGTTCAGATCCAATCATTTAATCATGAAAAAATTGACGGGACTCCTAAATTTTTATATGAGAATTGAAGTCGGTTGTGTTTTTTACTTAATAATTAATTGTTACTCAGAATTTTTAGAAACATTTTAGGTATGCAGTTTTATAGCCTATTAAATTTTAGTAGTGCAAATTTCAAGACGCTAGAAAATCGCGTTGATTTTAATTTTATTATTTTTTTGCTGAGGGTGTTGTGCATTTTTTTTTTTGTCCTCGACAATTACTTTCATATAGAAGAAAATGCCTAGCACCGTCAGCAAAAATAATTATAAACATTGAATAAACAAAAGAAAATAGCCAAAACTGGTCAAAAAGTTCACTTAACTTAATCAGCTGACCACAAGTGTACATACATACATATCGTACCTTTGCTGCAAGAGTGTCATAATCCAAAACTCGATGTATGTGTACATATATACTACGTATGTGAATATAGATTTAAAATTTTATTTAATCAATTATATGTAAGTGTTCTAGAGCCCGACCGAAAATAATTTTTTTTCCGAAGTCGAACCGATTTGCCGTCCATAGACTAGCATTCGGCCATACCTGAATCCGATGATCTTTTTTAACCAAATAAAAACTAATTTTTTAGCAAGTACGTACGTGGTAAAAATGAATATATTTACATCTAGCCAGGCCAATTTTGTGTAGTCATATTTCTGATCTGAATTTTGAGTTAGCTCACTTTAGATCTAGGTGTGCGATATGTACATATGTAGGTATTGTACATTCATATGTACTCGTATGCAAGTGCAAATGCGAGTTTTATTCATTGAAACTAGATATATCGTTTCAACTAAGTTTCAACATCACTCAGATTTAACCGAGCACTGAAAACCTGGACCTTATACAATATTTGCTACCACCACTATTCAATACATACATACATATGTACATACAATGAGTACAGGATCGTCGATTTTGGCACATTTTTCTTGGATCGGCAGACCAAACTGAACGTTCGCTGCGACTGTAATATGTACACATGTATGCACGTATGAACATACCAGGAATGTGAACGGGATGAAAAATTTGGTCAGTTCGGTTCATCGGTTCCAACTATTGTTTATTGTTCCACCTTTCGATTGGTTCGTAAAAAAAAATTTTTTTCTGACTATGAGCCGGGGTTTCGATTCGGTTCAACGGGAATTAAAAAAAAGTATGTATGTCTGTGTTATTTTTATTAATTAACAATACAAAAAATTGTGTTAAACCAACATGGTATGTATTACCATTATTATAAAAAAGTGAGGAAATATTATCTTTTAAAACTGGTCGAAACGAACACTAGACCTTTACAATAAAGAGTTCGGCTTTTCGGTTTTGTAGAAAATTTTGGTTCGGTTAATGGTTCAATTAACTAGAAGGAGAAATCGGTTAATCCGGTTCAATACCGGTTCGGTTCAAAAACGGTTCACGACCCGGGTACAAACACATACGTACACGTACATAAATTGTGAAAATTTTTGGAATTGTTTCGAATTCTAGTAATAATAATGAAACATAAACATACTTGTACTTTAAACAACGATATGTATGTACATATGGGTCATTCCTACAATATTTACACCTCAATATTTTTTTTTGTGTGAAATATTTTTTTTTTTCATTCTTTATCGAAAACAAGAAGACACCTATTTTTTATTTCGTCATGATATTCAAAATCTCGAAAAAAATCCCGAAATTTTGAACTGACATAGAAGTATCTTTTTTTAATTGTTTGCAGTTAATAAACTATTTGTCGGAGAAAATCAGTTAAGATATCAAAATGTGCGTAATTACCTCGGCTTTCCATGAGAGTGTGACATAGATTAAAATAAAAAAAAAAATTGCATTAAAAAATCTTATTTTTTATTTATTTTTTTTTATTAACTTCATCATGTTTGATTTTTATTTTTTTCAACCTGAATAGTTGTCAAACTTTATGGAGTAAATGGGGTATGGAACTGTAAAAATTTGAGAATGGAACTATACTATACTAAAGTTTATGTACGCAGGTATGAAAAACCCGTAACTTCTACAGTTTTGGTGTTTCCATTCTGAAATTTTTACAGCGTACTCCATTATTATTATTATTATTGTTGGGTGATAGAGCACTGCGACCTTCAGATCTATTGTGCCCCCTTCATGAATTATAGTGTGTCTATTAATTCTGTATCCGAGAGAAACTTTAGCATGGAAACTAAATCTACGGATTTCACTTCGCCTTTGGTTATCAGATGTTCACCCAGGTGCCCTTTGCGTTCATGCAATCTTCTAAATAAAAAATAAAANACGTACATAAATTGTGAAAATTTTTGGAATTGTTTCGAATTCTAGTAATAATAATGAAACATAAACATACTTGTACTTTAAACAACGATATGTATGTACATATGGGTCATTCCTACAATATTTACACCTCAATATTTTTTTTTGTGTGAAATATTTTTTTTTTTCATTCTTTATCGAAAACAAGAAGACACCTATTTTTTATTTCGTCATGATATTCAAAATCTCGAAAAAAATCCCGAAATTTTGAACTGACATAGAAGTATCTTTTTTTAATTGTTTGCAGTTAATAAACTATTTGTCGGAGAAAATCAGTTAAGATATCAAAATGTGCGTAATTACCTCGGCTTTCCATGAGAGTGTGACATAGATTAAAATAAAAAAAAAAATTGCATTAAAAAATCTTATTTTTTATTTATTTTTTTTTATTAACTTCATCATGTTTGATTTTTATTTTTTTCAACCTGAATAGTTGTCAAACTTTATGGAGTAAATGGGGTATGGAACTGTAAAAATTTGAGAATGGAACTATACTATACTAAAGTTTATGTACGCAGGTATGAAAAACCCGTAACTTCTACAGTTTTGGTGTTTCCATTCTGAAATTTTTACAGCGTACTCCATTATTATTATTATTATTGTTGGGTGATAGAGCACTGCGACCTTCAGATCTATTGTGCCCCCTTCATGAATTATAGTGTGTCTATTAATTCTGTATCCGAGAGAAACTTTAGCATGGAAACTAAATCTACGGATTTCACTTCGCCTTTGGTTATCAGATGTTCACCCAGGTGCCCTTTGCGTTCATGCAATCTTCTAAATAAAAAATAAAATAATAGATGTCTTCTTGTTTTCGATAAAGATTGTAAAAAAATATATTTCACCCAAAAAAAAAAATATTGAGTGTAAATATTGTATGGAATGACCCATATGTATGCAGATCAGCGATGGGCAGAGAGAGCTTTTACTTTGCACGCGCCCATACAAAATGTATGGAAAGCTCAAAA